AGTTCGGCTTTGGTCACCGGCTGATGACCTCGCATCCCTCCGAAACCGCGTACAGTGCGACCTTGTTCAGCGTCTCGATGTCCAACAAATGCTCTGCAAAGTTCATGCGGACGTGGGGAAAGAACTCGGGCGGGGGGTACATGGCAAGATTCTAACCCTCGTTAGAGAATCCCCCCCTCCACAGACGGACAAAAAGAATTTTTCAGGGAGGATTTTTTTGGTTACGAACAATCCGTTCCATCGCCTTCGTAGGCACAACGCCGGGCTTTATCTGTTCATACTGGAACAGCTCGACCCAGAAGTCAGGCGCGGTCTGAGGATTTGTCGACCATGCGTGTAGGTCTGCAAAGTTTCGCAGATTCAGCCCTCTCGTCGCATTCACGCGCCGGCGGAATTTGTCCATGTTTGTCTGCGATGGGTCGGCATGTTGCCAAAGCTTGCGCGGCGCAAGGGCTTTCGACATGTTGACCGTGTGGTTCTTGACAATTGTACGTGTGCGATATAGACGAGGAATGCTGGACAACGGAGTCTCCGCCTGAATTACAATCGAGCGATGCAGTCCGTCAGGGCTTACGACTGTACGAGAGCATGGCAGAAAGCGCCAACCAGGTAAAGCTAGCTATACTCGGTACGTGATGTGGCTGGCATCCCTGAGTCGGATGGCCATCGAAGCCGAGGTTACCAACGTAGCCAACACAAGACCTTTACTCGGTACCATACGGTAGTTTCAAGCCTTGTGAATGGACTTTGCACAAATGATCCGGAAGGGGTGGACGTCCCGGAAACAGCATGGGACCGTAATTAACGGGCTATCTAGCATTGGGGCCTCGTCTCAAATGTACCGGAGGTGTATTCTCCGGTGTCCGGTATCCCGGGTTAAAGTGCATTGGAACTAGCCAGATCGATCGAGCCTCAGGGCTGCTTTTGTGCGTAGACGAGGAGCCCACCATTACTAGCGTCTTGGTTGGCTGTATTTCACACATGGACGCATATGTAGGGTGGGGTACCTGGGCCACCAGGAGCAGATAGGTATAGAACCTTTGTGTCTGGAGTCAAGTACCCGGCGAAGCTCTTTTCGGGGCCCCGGACTCTTCAGCCCACTCTTGGACTCGTGCTGTGGGAGACGAGACCATCACCACGCTACTGCACAAGCTGACCAGTAGTTGCTCGAGCAGAAGAGAATACACGAGTATGAGCAGCACAGTGATATTGAATAGCAGACACAATTCCTCACGGGGTAAGCCATTTCTTATGCAGTAGACTAACGATTCTAAGTCATCACTCTCTGGGTTTGGACACCTATCACGCAGTGCGCAACATAGGGTGACCCCGACAGACAGCTTCAGTGACGGAGCTCTTTGGTGGTGTCTGGCTTCAGATATCTCCTGCTCATGCCCCGGCATTCACCACTCGATCTTCTCTTCCCGCTTTCAATTCGTTCCTGCCCATAATTCTCTTGGGAACGTGGGAGGTGAGGAGGGTGTCCATATCACGCATGACGAGGGCAGCAATCGTCGAAACCAGACCAAATGCGAGCGCAGCATAATACACATAGGCATAAGCTGCTGACTCTCCATCAAGGACGGCATTCATCACCGTGGTCAAGATGGCGGGGCTGATTCCCGGAACCTGCTCCAGGGCACTTGAGGAGCCAGTGGCGATGGCGGCGAAGAGGTCAGGAAGAGAGCTCTGAGGGAGACCAGCTTGGAGTGCGGCGGGAACGACATGGCTCTCCAGCTCCCCAGGGAGCTTATCTGATGGGCACAAAGTCAGTTGTGGCAGAAAAGGTGAACAAACGGTACATAGATAGTCTTACTATTCAGGATCGCCAACAGAATCGCTGTTCCGATGGCGCCAACTGCTGTGCGAGTACCAGCCAGGAACGAGAAGGCCGATCCCAGCTCTCCGTCATTTGGGGCGAGCAGTTGCACCAGCGCGGCAGTTTGTTGTTCGATCACTCCAATCGGAAGACCTGCGAGGAAAGAGCAGGCAATACCGAACCCTCGATTGTGCCTATTGCAGTTCGCCAGAGCACCAGTAAATGCGGTCATCCACGCGGATAGCAAGACAAGCTGCCACTTGACGTGTTTGATGACCCCCCATAACGGCCCCAAGAAGACCATTCCACCCCAGACCGAAATTCCGAGGGTGGTCGATAGCCACGCTGTCTCTTGCCATGACGTTGTCGGTGTTCTGTATATCGTAGCAGCCTCTGCGGTTGGCATCGCAGTGTTAGCATGTCATTTCCCACAGAATGAGCAAATAGCTCCATCCGGAGGACGCGATGCGTCAGAATTGACAGACTTACGTGTGGGCCAGATGATGGATAGACCGATGTAAGCAATGCCACCGACGCTTGAGCAGATGATTACCATGCTGTATCCTCGTATGTCTTTGAAGGAGCTCTTGGGCAGAAGGGGCTTCGCCTGGGCCACATAAATTTCTCCAACCAGTCAGCCCATATTGTGACCATAAACCAAAACACGACCCCGTTACTTACCATAGACGACAAACGCGATCAAAACCAGCCCACCAGAAATGAGCAACCCGAGAACCGTTCCGGACTTCCATGGATACGTGTTGCCGCCCATCTGGATACCAAGAATGAAAAGGACCAAGCCGGCCGTCACCAGGAAAGCACCACCGTAGTCAATCTTTCTCAGTTTCTGCCTGAGCGAAAGTTCGACTGCCAATTCTTTGGGGAAATAAAACACGAGGTAGAGGATGATAGCGACACCTGTAGGCGACAGATCGTCAACACCAGACGTTTCCTGAGGCGTCTCCGTAGGTGATGAGACTCACCGAGGACAATGATATACACGTAATAAATCCACCGCCAGTTAAGATGTACGACGATCGAATTACCTATGGTCTGCGTGTTGGCATGCTTGTAGAAAGGCACGAGCAGCTTTTTTTTTGAACTTACCGAAATACGCGCCGAGACCTTGGGCAGGGAGTGCAATCACAGTGACAAGGCCCATGCCGACAATTTTGTGTCGGTTAGGTAGCAATTCTGTGGACTCAAAGTCAGTTTTCTCTTCATAGCTCGCGAGGGGAGCTGGCAGGGATCTTCTATACCTGTCGCCACTACCATGAAAGTGAATTGGGCGCCAGCAGCTGTCCCGATAAGAGCCTTGTTGAAACATAGTGGTTAGTGGTCCACCGAGAAGTGAAGTTAGGTGCTCAAGTCTTGCTTACATTGGCTCCAGCCAGAGTATCAAGGGTATTTGCGGTGCACGCAACGATTCCTGCGTACAACAGTGAGCCACAATGAGGATGAATTTGCGAAACTCGGCGAGCAATCACCTCCGATCAAACCGAATGTATTGAAAACGATCATGGTCCAGCGTCGGCCCAGGATATCTGATAGATATCCCACGAGGATGTAGCCAACGGCAGTGCCCATGGTCCAGACAATAGAGAAGTGACTCGCGGACGACTTTGAGGCATCTGTTTCCCTCGTCAGCGTCAAGTGTTTTACATAAACGACTGATCTCGTTCAGGACAACACACTCGTCGCTTGGCCGATGGCAGTCAATACTGCGGCAGGAGCAACAAAGCCCCATGCACAGGAGAAAAGTGCCAGAGAAATGGCACAGAGTGATCCAAGCTGCAGTCCAGCCCTTTGTTAGCATGGTAAAAGTTAAGTGTAGCGGTGAAATTGCGTGTAAGGAGTCGAGGTAATCCAATATCTCATGGGGCAAGACGACAGAGGGTGTCGTACCGTGTAAGGCTCCAACAGATGCTTCCAGCCTACTTGTGCAACATGGTAGGTTGCCTCTGCCGCAATCTTCTCGACGATGATCTGCTCGGCAGTGGCAGAGTCCGCAGTCTCGATTCTGATTACATCGTCTCCAGTCTAGAAAGCCACGGGTAATGATCAGTATGCCGTGCATCAAGATAATATAAAATGGATCAAACCTGCCTTGTCTTCTCGATCCATGGCTGGCTGCGAAGTGTTTCTACCTAGTGTCTGTAATATTGTTGTTCAGGGGGCAAACGTTGTAACGAGTGAGAGAAGGTCCCCCAGACGAAGGGACTCGAGCTGTCTATTTCATATAGTACCGCTCCGGAGAGGCGTTCTGTTCGAGACCTCTCTAACCGCCCCCCTCCGGGGCCTCGACCCAAAGAAGATTCTCATAGCGACGTTTGTGTCTGTATTTTCCCACCCGGAGGACTCGAAACTTCCGGAACAGACAGTACAGTACGTAGTATGAAAAGAAAAGTGTAAAAGTGTATTAGAGAACTAGCCTAGATCTCTCGTCTCTCAGGGTCTAGTATTGAAGTCACCCATTACTAGCGCCTGGACAGTAATTCACGACAGCTTGACTGGCTCTGGGTCTCTGGGGTGGGTGGGGGATCATTTCCGGGGCCCCGTGCGATAAATGCCTAAATGGACACTTCGAGAGTGGCTCGATGGTCAAGCTAAGTCAAGGTGGTCATGGTAGAGATAGATGTCGTTGAACAAGCGGAGGAGGATTGAGTGCCGTCAACGACGATGGTATCGTTCAATCGGTAGACTCGATGCTCGAAGGTAATGAATGCAGATAATGCTATCTAGCCATGAGATATGCGTCCTTCGCGCCCCATTTTATGTATCTACACTCGAATCCACAGACTACTTCGATGCTAATCATCGGTGCTTTCGCTTCGCGTAAATTGTCCTGCTCGAGATCCAGCGACGGCAGCTCGGTTGATCTTGACTCGATTTGTCGCGCTGGCCGTGATGGCATCCTCCGCATTCTTCACGCCGTTGCTCAACCCGGCCTTTGCTCGTTGCGACATGAAACCATTGGGATCGTAAGGGTCGATCGGAATGTCCTGTCCCACGGTGTCGCCGAGCAAGATCTTGAGTGCCTCAACCACCTCGACGCCATTGCGCACGCTACCGTCCAGTTGCCGCCAGGCTACAAAGTTGTCCGGACGCACCAGAAGCGCCCCTCCCCTGCGGAGTTGAGACTCGGTCGGCCAACGGTCGTCTCGGTCGACATATGGGCATGGTCTGAGTCCCGAAGCCAGTGGACCAATCTGAGCAATACCGACCTTGACCTTCAACTCCCCGACGACTCCCTGAACGGCCTCGATCCAGGCAGACCCATATTGGTCAGTTATGAGCAGGTAGTCGTCAGTTCTCTTTATCAAGTCATGCGTTGACAGAACGCGCTGGGCACGGTCATCCCGCTCCTCGAGCCAGACGTGAGGGAGTCGATGGCCAGGCCTGCTTGTCTGGACATACGTTTGGCCGAGAGGGTCAACTGGAGGTCTCTCGGTATTGTCCGAGACCGATGCGCCACCTCGCCAATAGCTGAATCCCAGTTCGAGGTCCAGCGCAGAGTATTCCACCATTTGACTCTTGATTAGATATCTGAGCTGGGCGCGAAACGTCTCGCCAATATCAGACTCCTCGAGCAAGGCTTCCATGCGCGCGCGATTGATTTCTGTCTGTCCAGGAATGAATCCAACGGCTGCGGCGACCATCGCTTGGTTTGAAAATGTCATTAACCTGATTTCCACAACAAGAATTAGCTTCTGTTCGTTTGCCAGCCATCTCAATAAAGCACACAAGATAAGGATAGTGCAAGGAAAAAACTTACCCCCAATCGCAATTACGCTTGCCAACGAGACGTCTTTCTTGCTCATAAGTGTCCAGAAGCTTAGGTGATGCTGTTCCTTTGATGACTTGGGCAAGCTTCCAGGAGAGGTTGAATGCATCTTCAATAGACGTGTTGAGGCCCAGCCCGGTAGTCGGCGGTCCTAAGCCAGTGTCATCTAAATGGTTCGAGAGAGAAAACAATGACCAGACTCACGTCGATGTGCTGCGTCGCCAGCGATAAATATCCTCCCTTCTCTGTATTTGTTGGCCAAAACACGCTCCAGCACCCAGTGGCTAACAGCGCATATCTTGATTTCTAGGTCGGGTATCTTGAGCAGCTCTCGGATTCTCGGTACGAGCAGGTGTTCCTGTGCCTCTGAAAATCTCGCTGGGTCATCAACCCTGAAGCCGAAATGAACTGTCCAGTTTTCAGAGTAGCGGCCGAACGTGGGCCCCATGCACACGACCGTTCCACTCCCGAGAATCGTCTCGCCTTCGGGGTTGATGAAGTTTGCAATCAAGGTTCGCTCGTCCCAATACTGAGACAGGTCCGCCTCGAAATGGACTGAAACGACATCGGCAATATCCGTCGGCCCTTCAAGAACAGCGCCAATCTTGGGGGCAATAATGCCCCTGCCGCCTTCTGCAGCGGCCACATATTGCGCGCGATACGTGATCTGTGGGCCCTCAGGAGGTTGAACAATCACCAACACGTGGTCATCGTGCGGGATAACATCGACGACCCTGTGGGAGAACCTGATGTTGCCAGGATTCCTCTCCTCCGCGATTTCTCTCCATATAGGTTCCGAATGCACCAGCGGCAAGTTCGCAGGTCTTTCAGGAGCAACCCGCCTATCCAAAGTTAGCAGGATTGTACGGCAACGTGAGACGCGTCCGTGTATCGCACATGTACTTGTGGAGTAAAGGAGAGCCCTCGTCGCCCCCAAACGACGGACTGGCATACAAGAGCTTCCGATCATAGGGGCCAGTTCCTCCAAGGGAAGTCGAAAAGGTCACCTGGCTGATGCATCGGCTGGGGGCGCTCTTGTCTCTAATCCGGTGTGCATAGTCGTGAACGCGAAATATTTCCAGGCTCCTCTGGTTGAGGTAGTGTGCCTTGGGCAGAATCGAGGTGCCGCTGTGCTTTTCGAACAAGATGTGCGGTATCTCCCTTGCGGAAAGGAAGATGGAAAGGTTCAAACCACATCCTACGTATGTGTTTAGAAATGAGTATCTCGCTTTGGAAGCATCAAGCCAAAACAACTCACCGCCACCGCCGATGATGACCACAGGTACATCTATTGGTTCCTGGCTGTCTGGAGCCATGTTGTCACTCTTCTCTAGTGGTTATTCAAGGTATGATAGTCTAACAGGTAATAGAGGTCGAAAGACGGATGTTGATTTTATTGTTTTCCTCTACAGCTCAATTATCACAAGATTTTGGGCAAACTATTCATGCTGAGGTTTAGTTACTGGCGTTCTGCAGGGGGTCTTCCGGATCGCGGAGGCACTATCCGGCTCAGAAGCTTTGGCCGGACAACCCTCGTCGGCGCGGAGGGCTTCTTCCGACTTCACATTTTTGCACATCGAGTTCTCATTCGGGCTCCAGCCGTAAGGGATCGGAAGAGAGTTGAGGGGTAGGGCGAAAGAGACGGAGGGAGTTGAAGCGCCCGGACGGTGGAGCGTTTCGACTGAATAGTCGTTAGCACGAGAGTAGAGCGGCGGGAGACTAGTCGAGTCAACGATGGACAACAGTGCGGGGGCTTATGTAATATGTATAAACCGAGTACTCGGCCAGTCTGTATATCAGTACCGAGTATTCCCCAGTCAATACCATGCCAACACGTGACCACCAGTATGGGAATTCCTACGCTTGCCCGTTGCTAGCCTTTTGTTATGGCCATTATATAGACTCGTCTCATGCCCTCAAAGCACTGAGATCAATCGATCAACCTTTTCACTGTGACACACCGAACTTCTAATGATGTCGAAGACTCCACCCACCATCGACTGGCAACTCTATCCCCGTGATTGCACTGGACGCCTCGCCCAGCAAAAACACCACCGCTCGCGCGACCTGGTCTGGCGTAATCTCCCGGCCCAGAGGAGCGAGTGGCAGAGAGCGTCGTGGGACGCTACCATCCTGCGTCTGCTCAGATAGTGTCTGAGGAGACGAAGGGCCGGGACAGACGCAATTAATGCGGATGCCGTCGGAGAGATGGTCCAGCGCAGTGGCCCTGCTCATCCCGACGATGCCGTGGGCGGCGGCACTGTAACCGGGAAAGCCTGGGTCGCTGGCCAGGCCGTGGGCAGCCGAGACGTTGACGATGCTGGCCGCGCTGGGTTGTCGGTTGGCCTTTTGAGCCAGGAATTGACGCACCTCTGATCGCATGGCCAGCCAGACCTGTCATGACCAAAACACATTGGTGTAAAAAGTTAGATCATCTCTGTCTAGCTGATGAAAGATATGAGAGTTAGAAGAGATGCCCGCACGTACAGCTCGTTGCCAGCGCTCCCCGGCCGTGGTGAAAGTCGCCCAGGGAGTCTCGGTCGTCTCGCCGTAGAATCCATCCGGCCTTTCGCAATTGGCACAGTAATCGATCTGGCCGAACCTGGCGACCGCTGCGGCGATCAACTCGTCCACGTCGCGGGGTTCTCTCGAGTTGCACTTTCTGCCGAGGATCTGAAGTTCCGCGTGCCCCTGGGTCAGGGTGTGGCACTCCTTGACCACCTCTGCGAGACGACCCTCGTCTGAACCACCGACAACGAGCTTCGTGCAGCCGTTTTGGATGAGCAAGTGAGCCACGGCCCTC